AAATGAGATGCCGCAGTTTTTTTCGCAAAATTACAGCACTTAAAAGTTACTCTTGCATTTTTTACATATGTACTACGATATGTGATATGTACATATTACGACAAAGTTGCTGGATGGATTTTGCACATCGTATTTCTACGTGTATGTATTTTGCACATCATGTTTCTGCGTGTAAATTTCAGTAACATGTGTTGCCTCCGCATTGCTCGATTACTGCTTGCAGTCGATTCCTTATATTAATACAGATTCTAATTTTTTCCTGCGGAATGTTATTCCAGATTTGTACTAGAGCTTTTGCTCTCATTAATACTTTACAATTATATTTAACATAATTTTTTCTATATGTGTTTCATTTTTTTCACAGCATTTTGTGATCAGATGTGTTACACTACACGTTTATTAGCATTATAAGTTCGTGGATCATTGAAAAAGCAGTCCCCATACAATTGCAGAAATCAAACACGCTATATTCGAATGCAACTTGGGATGGGTGATCACTTAGCAGTATTGTGAAATTAATTGCAGAATTCAAGAGAAATATTCTTTTTTATCAAAATTTTATCATAATTTTATCATATAGAATATAATATTAATCAAAGTAATTACATTTAGGAATAAAATTGAATTGATTACTTTTATTCTTCTGAAATTTCAGCGAAATTTACTAAAATTTCGCTAAAATTTTCTTGAAATTTTATTGAAAAGTAGTATAAAACAAAGAATAATTTCGACGAAATGTTAGTGAAATTTCAACAAAATTTCAACGAAATTTTTCCATCAGGGAATGTTTTTAAAATACAATTAAATCTCCGTATATATTCTTTACATCTTTATACTTAATATTATTAAGCTACTCATTGTAAAATTGCAAAGTAAAAAATAAATAGAAAATAAAGATTTAAAAAATCAAGAGTTAATTGAAACTTTTACATAGAGTAAATTATTCATTCAATATATCTCTATAACAAATAATATAAAAATATATTGCTTTAATGATGTAATAGATCCAATAAAGTATAACTCTAGTATATATGCCGTACCTATTAAAAATTCAATTTATTAAGTAACGATGCATCATCATATTATATCATATCCAGCTAAATATTCGCCGGGAAATGCTGCTGCATCAAGTGCAGCAATGATAGACGCGGTGCATCAGAAATATTTTTTAAAAGTTTCAACCTCACGAGCGTCTCAAAATTCAAACAAGCAACGTTTTAAAAATTTCAACGTTGGTAAAGGGGACATCTGATGATCTAAGAGGCCAGTCTATTTGACCACGTCTAGATCACCAGATCTATTCTGTTTATAGGGGTACCTTAAAAATAGTGTATGCGACAAAGTTTGCCGATTTAGTGGATCTTGTTTGATGGAACGAATAGTATACCAATCAATCTTATCTTATTAATGAAAATAACAGATACAATCTGCAATAGCTTTTATCTCAACAAATGTTATCCAGGGCATGGTCCTGAACAACATTCAAAAGGTTTTAGCACGGTCGGTTAGACACGTTGGGTAATGCTAACGCCGATGATATTGTAACTTCCAAGCTTTATAATTGAAAAAGTACTTAATAAAAAATAACTTTATTATAGTGATTTGAAAACCAGCTATAATAACAATATAACGATAAAACAGGCAAATAAGAATCGATTCTTTAAAATGTAAACGTATAAAAATTATTGATAGGAGTTAAATACATACATAATAGAAACAGATATATCATTACATGTTTTGGCTCTTATATTGAGCCCTCTTCAGATATTATCATCTTCACACCTTACATTAATTATCATCGTCAAAGAATAAAAATCATGATGTGAATGTATTCCAATTTATGTAGCGATGAATATTACATGAAAGACGTCAGTTATTCACAAACGATTTGATGATCAATTGTTAAGGAATTTCATGATATTCTGATCAAAAAGAAATTCGTTCATCAATAAATAGATAAATAACTTGATAAAATAAAATTCTTTAGAAAAATTATCTTTTTTATATTCTGTAAAAAGCAACAACATTATCTTGATGAAACACTCACCATCATGATCGCAGTTATTGTTTCATAGGAAGAATATTTTGTCCAAATCATTATGTAAAAATGTATAGAATATAATGACAAATACGTCAGTTAGATAATGACGATAAATATTATATTTCAGAGTCAGTATGATAACAAAATTAATTTTATGCAAAGATCGAATTATCCAGAGATATTATTTGAACGTTATGTTAATAGCACGGCAGACTGTCACTATCTGAGGAACGATTAATAGATTGACAAAATGATTCAATAAGAACAATATTAAATTTTATTTATAATAAGTATATACGCTTCGTAAAGACCCTCGGTGTTCGTTTGAAGATTGAGACTATTTTTCTGCTTTTTGATATTAAACATCTCGAAATTAAACGTTTATTATAACACGGTTCTTCATCTAGTATCTATCTGGATGTTATTCCAGTCAAAATCATGTGTCATCTGCATTCTATGTTCAGTGATTATAAAACGGATAGATGTATTCCAATGAATATGATTGCGGTATTCTGCAATTCTGGTTTTAAGTTGTCTGGTTTAAGTTGTTCCGTTTGTCCGACATATGATGCATCATAATCGTTGTGATCGCATATCATGTTTAGCATATCATCATTCAAATGTTTTAAAAACAATATGAAACAAAACTTACAGGCGTTGATAAATCTGTAAATACCGCTGAAAATATTTGGCAACGTGACATTCTTGTCAGTGTAGAAACTGAGAGCAATTCCTTGATAAAGAGAGACCCGTCTACGTGGTGGAATTGGTCCGCAGAATCGTCCACCAAACGGTGTCTCTATTAACTTAGTCGTGTTTTCTGATCGTATCTCCGAGTAAATATCCAGATATTCATGAATACAGCTGAAAAAGAGAGTATATCACGTACGTTTTAGATTCATTCTCTGTACGTTTTAGTGTGTCCGATGAATACACCTAATATTCGAATAAATGAATAAAAAATGAAAATATTCATTCAAATACATTTCTTTTTTATTCGTTAAGGAACGAATAAATATTTTTTCCATTCGAATGAATATTTTTTAAATATAATTACACGAATATTTTCATTTCGTATTTACTTTTACATTATAAAGGGTGGGCCATCTATTGGTACGTTTTTGAATAATTGGGGTGACCGAATGGCATACTGTAAGGCCAGTAGAGGGAGCCACATGAACGAAATCGTACCAATAAAAAACGTACCAATTAAAAAAACCGAATGGCATACTGTAAGGCCAGTAGAGGGAGCCACATGAACGAAATCGTACCAATTAAAAACGTACCAATAGATGGCCCACCCTATATTATCTGCACATAAGCCTACAAGAGAAAACAGAAATATAAAAACAATCTATAAAAACAATATGATTACACCATGCGCTTAGTTCGCGACTTATACGGGGGACGTCCTTAAATAACTTATAGATTAAACAAAGACATTTTTATTGAGAATAAATAATATATCTCGAAATTTAATGTCCACAAACCATAATGGACGTCGCGCTCAAGATATTCTATAAAATATTTATAACATTAATGTCATATAACCGGAATTATATCAAAATGTATGGTCTATCAAATAGATAGATTTATAAATAAAAAATGTATATCTTTCTAAAATATTTTTCAAAATTTCTAAGTTTCCTTTATAAAATTTGAATATTATAATAACAAAAATAAATAAAATTCATTTTTTTTTACTTAAAGTCATCAAACTACCGGTTATAGTTAAAAGGTAATGATTGCTTATTGGAGCTTTTTTCAGTTTATATTTTGTTTAAAAGAATTGAATACTCGTTAAATATTCATAGTTTTTTGTGAATAAATATTTTTTGAAAACTCAAAATTTTGAATAAATATATGATTACATTTTTTTTATGTGAAAATTTTGAATAAATACAATTTGGAGTATTCAATTACAAATTTTTGTATTCATCGGGCATTAGTATGTTTAAATTTAAATTTGTTTATATTTAGTAAAAAAAAATGGAAACGAATAGATTATGAGATTTGTGTTAAATACTGAATTAAATACAATTACAAATAAGTTTAAATTTATTAAAATTGCCATAATCACTTAAAAAAAAAATAATTTCTTAGTACACAGTCAGATGTTAACAAATAACTTTAAATTCTTTATAAATACTTCAAGAAATAAAAACATTTTAAATTAAAATCAAACAAAGTTTAAATCGTTTATGGAATACTTTTTTAGAAAATTTCTTACGAATTATCGAATTATTCTTAAATAAAAATAAATCATTCATATAAAGCGAAAGGCAGAAGATATATTATTTTTGATAATTTAAAAATGTGCAAATAGTAAGATATATAAAAATTATTTAAAATAAAGGAATTCCAACAAAATGTTTAAAATTTGCTTGAAGATAATACTTGCATAAAATGATTTTCTTACAAATGTACTAAAATTATACAAGTAAAGAATACAAGTAAATTGAAATATTCTGTATGTTTGTGTGCAATTAGAAACATATAGATCGTCTACTTTTTTAAATAATTGCAATTAAAATGTGTATTTTTAACATAATTATAACAGTAACTAATTACTTTTTGAGAGAAAAAATTGTAACTAATTACTTTTACAAAGTGTGTAACTTGTGTGACACCCCTGTTTGCCATTTAGAATTTATAGTGTAAAAATATCATATAAAGTGCTTGAGTTTCATTCTTTACGTCTATTTCCATTTTTTGTAGATGAATTTTAATCTCATTTTTACTCTTCATCTTTCTAATTTTTAGAACTAGAGAAAGATGAAAAATAAGTTAAACCGTGATTAAAATTAGTCTATATTATGAAAATGGGCATTAATTTAGTGTAACAATTTTTTCTTTGAGAAGCTTATACTCTTATCGCTTAACATTAATTTTTTTAAAAAAGTTATATAACGAACTATTAACTGACAAATAGCATAACTTCTTACAAATTTATCAATACTTACGCTGGTAATTCTCCCACAGCAGATCCACTATGTATCAGGAAAAACATGCATGTAAATAATATATATATATATATAAACAAGTATTCTTCTGTAAGTTTCTATCATTTACTCACAAAAATTATCAAATATAATTCGTATAATTCAAAATTGTTAAATTTCTTTTTGTCTTTCATCTCTATCAAATGTCGATCATTAAATTTTCCATAAAGAGAAATAAATAATATTCTTTCATGCGTCAATTATAAATTTTTATAATTGATATATGAGAATATTACAGTTAAACATATCTATATTAAAAAGTAATAAAATAATGTTACATATATAATCAAATAATGTTATACCGGGCATCCCAAAATTTGCAACTAAAAATCAGGACAGATTGTTTCAATTTCAATTATGATTTAATGAAATATGGAATAAGTTTAATCCGGTTTCAGTTTCAGTTCCTTGGCTAATAAAAAAAATCGATAAAAATTTAGGTTTTTTAACATAAAGATTGAAATAATAGTACAGTCATTACCTACAGGATATGGCCTCGGAAAAAATACCTACAGGCTGAATTTTGCACAGACCTTTATTTTTGCGTAAGATTGAAGGAGAAAAAAGTTTACCATTGTATAGTGGCCACTAAGAAAAATAATTAAATAAAGTTTAGTCTTAAAACACGCAAACCTTATAATGCGTTCTCTCTATACGTATCAGTTATTGCGAAAAATATTGCCAAAGCCTCAGTGATCAAGTTGGG